TTACCTGGAGCCTGGGGAGGGGGCTGGAGGGTCCCATAGCCAGTGCGCAGTGTTACCTGGAGCCTGGGGAGGGGGCTGGAGGGTCGCCCAGCCAGTGCGCGTTACCTGGAGCCTGGGGAGGGGGCTGGAGGGTCCCATAGCCAGTGCGCAGTGTTACCTGGAGCCTGGGGAGGGGGCTGGAGGGTCGCACAGCCAGTGCGCGGTGTTCCCTGGAGCAGCTCCGCCTCCGGTCTTTATCCTAAAAACCAGTCGCACAGGCTGTCCAGGGCACCCAGCCTGCTTGTGTGTTTTTGTGACATCATTGTAATGTGGCTGCCCGCCCAGGCAGTCAGTTCACAAGGACGGGTCTCCGATGTGTCTCCAATGCCGCGGACGGTGCCTGGCGCACAGTAGGAGCCTGTGGGGTGGGAGCCACCCACAGTGATGGCCGTGATGGACAGTCACTGTCCGGTGACTTTGACAGCGAAGGTTGCGAGACACTTTGAGGTTTCTCAAACCGGAAGATAACCCAGCATGTCCCAGGTGTGGTGCGGCCTCACAGGTGGCCCAGCGCTCCCCCGAGGACTTCCGCTGTGTCTGGGACACCCTCACGGGGGAAGCGGGTGCGTTCTGCCACCCACACACGGCGCTTCCCCGCGACTGTCCATCCCTCGGCTGCTCCCTCGCCCCTCGCTCGTCGTGGAGTGATGCCGTCCTCCCCGAGGATCCCCCAGGATGTAGGCCTGTCTGGCGTCCATCTACGGGCTCATGTGTCGGTGGAATCGAGGCGTTCGCGGGAGTCAGCAGGACCTGCCGATGGTTGGGAGCGGGTTCGGGAGCCGGCAGGCTGACCCTGAGTTTCAGGCCGAGCAGCTGGGAGCGCGGGGGGACCACTCTTGTTGGGCTTTAGGTGGCGATGCCTGGGAGACCCCGAATGGAGGTGTCAGCGGGCAGTCGTGTGGGTCTGTTCTCAGAGAGTCCTGGGCTGCAGATGGGATTGGGGGAGGAACCTCCGAGAGAGGACAGAGAGGAGAGGGACCGGGACGGGGCCCTAAGGAGTTCCCACATTTAGAAGTCGGGGACCCGGGAGGGCGGGGAAGTCAGGAAGGCGAGAGAAGGGGGTCCAGAGGAAGGGGTGGGCAGCTATGCCTGACGTTGCTGGAGGTGAGTCACCTGAGGCCGGAGGAATGCCTTGATTTTCATGACGGGGACGCTCTGGGTGACCAGAGCAGGTGTGGGGGAGGCAGGGACAGGCGGTGGGAACAGTGACGGCGACAGTAGGTGGGGGCTGCTGTTAGAAGGTGCATCGCCGTGGGGGAGCAGAGGTGGAGCGGTGTGACCATCAGATGGATGACAGGTGTCTAGGTCGTTGCTAGTTTTCTGGAGGATCGACGTCAGGGTTCACCTAGACCAGTGGTCGGCAAGCTCATTAGTCAACAGAGCCAAATATCAACAGTACACAATTGAAATTTCTTTTGAGAGCCAAATTTTTTAAACTTAAACTATATAGGTAGGTACATTGTTATTAACTTAATTAGGGTGCTCCTAAGGCTTAGGAAGAGCCACACTCAAGGGGCCAAAGAGCCGCATGTGGCTCGCGAGCCGCAGTTTGCCGACCACGGGCCTAGACCACCAGACAGCCGACACAGCGTCCTTGCTCCGCTGCCCAGCGAAGGTGGGCAGCAGCCCTTCCTCACATCTGGGCCTCGCTCGCCGCTGGCTTCCCTGCAGGGTGTGGGGTTCCTGTGTGTCTGACCAGCCAGGGAGGGATTTTTATGGGGGACAGAAGAGGACCGCTCCAGAGCAGAGCAGCTGTGATGCCTCTGGTTCCCATGGCAACCCGCACTGTCATCTTCCCAGCAAGGGAAGGCTTCGTGGAGGAGTCCTGTGTCCAATGAACACCTGTCTTCTCTCAGCAAGGGTGGACTGAGCTCCCGCCGAGTGCCTGGTGCTGTGCACGGTGCCGGGGAGGAGGTGTTCTGCTCACATACAGTAACTATTTCTCCTCTGTTACAGTTGTGACAGTGAAGATATCAGGGGGAATTTCCACTGTCCAGCCCCTCACAGGACAGCATGTAAATACGATTTACGGCCCCCACCTGGGGCCTCGCTGCAGGTTGTCTCCATGGAGACGGCCCCTGGAGGCAAACCTCACGCTCACTGCCACCCAGATGGCTTTTGTGGGTCTAATACACGCAGAGCTGACTCGTGGGTGCGGGATGTGTGCTGTAAAATGTGGCCAAGGTCCTTTCACTTCCCTTCGGAGTTAATTCTCCTCCACCGCCCTGATTAACGACGCCTCGCTCACAGTTCACCTTCAGGAGAGATTTACTGCCCCGAGCTTCACATCCTGTCCGATTTCTGCTCTGACACCTTGCTTGCCATTTGGTGAAAATGTGATTAATTTTTATATGAACTAAATATGAAAAAGAACGCGGATGTCCTTTTCTCTCTTTTTAAAAAAATGTTTTTATTGATTTCAGAGAGAAAGGGAGAGGGAGAGAGAGAGAAACATCAATGATGAGAGAGAATCATTGATCGCTGTCTCCTCACATCCCACACTGGGGTCAGTTCCTGGTCAGGGCATATGTCCGGGTTGTGGTCTCAGTCCCCGTAGGGGGTGTGCAGGAGGCAGCTGTTCGATGCTTCTCTCTCTCCCTCTCCCTTCCTCTCTCTGTAAAATAAATAAAAAACATTTTTAAAAAAAGAATATGCTACTCAGCCACCGGTGTTCAGTCACTGGATGGGGCAGAGGGAGGGAGGAGGAGGAGGAGGATTTAAATTCTGAATACTTTGGGTGTAGTCTATGAGCACTAAACTTGACTATGGCCTGACCTACAGATAACTGGAAACCGCAGAGCTTTCCCCACCAGGGCCTCTGGTTCTGCCGGACGTTAGGTAATGAACTCTCCCGACCTGTGTGTCTCCCAGGTTGGAGATTGCAACCCTGAATCGGGCCGACTCAGATCTGGAGGCTTGTCGGACCCAAATCAGCAAGGACGTCATCGCCCTTCTGCTGAGAGATCTGAGCAGCGGGGGCCACCTCGCCCCTCAGGCGGAGAGGAGGATGGGCGCCGCTTTCAAAAAGCAGTTTCTGATGCTGGAGAAAGAAATACAAGAGGAGTATGATCGCAAGATGGTGGCTCTGGCGGCCGAATGTGACCTGGAAACAAGGAAAAAGATGGAAAACCAGTTCCAGAGGGAGGCAGCGACGATGGAGGAGGCGGAAGAACTGCTGAAGCATGTTAGCGAGAGGGTAAGGCAGCTCTGCCTCTCTCCTTCCTCTTGGGGAATCATCATTTATCCATTCATCCAGCCAGCAACCTACCCACCCATTCATCCACCCATTCATCCACCCATCCATCCATCCATCCACCCGTCCATCCGTCCATCCATCCATCCATCCATCCATCCATCCATCCATTTATTTGTCCATTCTTCATCTATCCATCTGTCACCCATCTGTTCATCCATCCGTCCATCCACCCATCCATCATTCATCATCTATTCATTCATCCATTAATCATCCATCCATTTATCTACCCATTTATCTATCCACCTACCCGTCTATCCATCTACCCACCCTTCCACTTATTCATCCCACATCCATCCATCCATCCATCATTGTCTACACATCCATTCATTTATCTATCTTCCTGTCCATCTCCACATGCATCCATCTCCCCATCCATTTATCTACCCACCGTGTGTCCATGTAGGCACCCACCATCCATTCATTCATCCATCCACCCATCCATCTGTCCATCTGTCTGTCTACACATCCACATGCTTATCCACCCACCACCCATCCATCCATCCAGAATTCATTTAGAAAGCATTTATTAATCTCTTACTGTCTTCAGGCATTGGGGTAGGCCATGAAGGTACAGAGAACAATGAGACATGGGTTTTGCATTAAAGAAGTCTGTAGTTTAAGAAGGATCATTACATATAAAAATGTGACATCGTTCACTATGTTATGGTAGAGTCATGTCCACGGTGCCGTGGGGGGACCAGGGGAATAGAAAGGCTTCATTCCCAGGAGGTTGCGTCCATAGCAAGGTCGCAATGCCGGTGTGCACGTGTGTCCCTCAACTGCAGTCGCTAGAGCACAGCTCTCTCCAGCACAGACTCGGGAGTCAGACAGACTGGGCCTCCAGTTCTAGAACATTCCGGCTCTGCTCCTGCTGGGGTCCAGGGATCCCCAAAGGTGTGGACGGAGTCGGCGAAGAAGGAATGACACGGAGGCAGCCTTCGGGTGATCATCATAGCCAGGTTCCTCTAGCCAGGATCTCCAGCCAAGTTCTGTCTAGGATCTCCAGCGAAGTTCTGGTTTGGATCTCCAGCCAGGTTCTGTGTCCATGTTCTCTTGCTAGGTTCTGAGTCAGTGTC